CCAATCAGATTGCTCTCTGTCGTATATAAGGTGTTTACAAAGGTAGCTACGAAGAGAATAGAGACATGAGAATCCAATCAACCAAGCGAACAAACATGATTTCGAACAGGCTACTCAACAATCGACCCCATTCATACTATCAATCAGGTGATAGAAAAATGCTCAGAATACACCCAACCACTATACATGGCCTTCATAGATTACGAGAAGGCATTTGACTCGGTAGAAGTACCAGCAGTCATGCAGATATTGCGGAATCAGGGCAATAATGAAACATATATAAAAATCCTGGAAAAAATGTACAGAAGGTCCACTGCCACCATATGACTCCATAAAGAAAGCGACAGAATAACAATAAAGAATGGTGTAACACAAGAGGATACACACTTCCCATGGCTATTTACCGCATGCTTACAGGATGTTTTCAGATGCCTAGAATGGGAAGAGTTAGGCATAGGAGTTAATAGAAAATACCTTATCAAACTTCCTTTCGCCAAATGCATTGCATTGCTGAGAAGTTCAAGGGACGAATTGCAGTTCATGATTACTGAATTAGACATGGAGAAGATAGGTCTTAAAATTAATCTGAAGATAACAAAAGTAATGTACGACAACCTCTGAAGAGAACAGCACTTCGAGATAGGTAGCAGCGCACTTGAAGTTGTAAGGGAAAACGTCTACTTAGGACAGGTTGTACCTGTGGAGCTGGACCGCGAAATTGAAGTAACTAGAAGAATAAAAATGGGGTGGAGCACATTCAGCTAGCATTAATAGATCATGACTGTAAGATTGCTGCTATCCGTCAAAAGGAAGGTTAATAGCAGCTGCGTCTTGCCAGTACTTACTTGCAGAGCAGAAACCTCGAGGCTTACAAAGAGGGTTCAGCTCAAATTTAGGATGACGCAGTGAGCGATGGAAAGGAAAATGATAGGTGTAACGCTAAAGGACAAGAAGAGAGCAATGTGGGGCAGGGAACAAATGGGGTTAAGGATAGCATAGTTGAAAGCAAGAAGAAATGGTCATGGGCAGGGCACATAGCGCGAAAGCAAAATAACCACAGAATGGATTCTAAGAGACACCAGCATGTGGAGGGGACACAGAAAGTTGGGCGGGCAGATGAGATTAGGAAGTTTGCGGGGTATAAAACTACAGCAGTAAGCACAAGGCCGAGTTGACTAGTGGAACATGGAAGAGGCCTTTGTCCTGAAGTGGGGGTAGTCGGGCGGATGATATTTCTAGCGACCTAAAAAAAAAAATATGTATGCCTGTTTTCTTTTTTTTCTGCCACCCTTACGAATCCCTTGAATTTCAAGGTAGCCAGCTTAGTAGATCTACATTTGAATTCGCAGAGTTCAATGCGACAAATGTTAATGTGGACGTTATCATTGTTTGCTCAGTGAGGTGAATAAAAATAATAATTTTACTGAAATAGCAGTGGTCTTACTCACACTGCCTAATTTACTGCATGTTGAATGGTTTGTACATATTCTTTTTCTAAATGTTCTAAATGTACATATTCTTTTTCTAAATACTACTCCAAATTGGGTCTTTCGTCATAAAGAAATGTTTTGCTCCCCGTAAACTGCTCCAAATTTGGATTTTTGTGCTCCAAAAGGAACATTTTACTGCTGAAAAATCGCTCCAATTTCCGACTCTCTCCGACATCGAATGAGTAAAGCTAGTGTTGACACTGTCACAGAAGGCTTGTGTGGCGCAGGCAGTACCTTGACTAACACCCGACGGGGGTTATTGCTTGTCACCCCCTCTTGCTTTTTTGTCGGGCTGCTCGCGGTGTGGTTCTGGCTGATGTTGCCAGGAGTGCTTTTATTTTTACTGAAAGGGTATGCTCATGACAGTCTAGCCAATGCTTATCTAGCTCAACTCATTCTGAAGCACACATATCATTCCATTTTTTACATTGTGTAGGGCTCCGATTCGAAATTAAAAAAAAAAATGTGCTTTGAACATTGCGAAAACTTGTGACCTTAGCCCCCTCGCCCTCCTGTAGGGAACTAGGTTCTTATGATGCTAGGCGGGTGCTTTGAAGTGATGCCGAAATTGGTCACAATCAATTATGCTAGCACTAATAATATGGTACATCTGAGTAATTAACTACAGTTTCAGGACTCAGGCACAAAGCTAAGGTTACTCAATTAACTGAGATTCAGTGACAGATTTTACCAGGTTTTGAAATGAAATGCACTGGCAAACCATAATGCACGGATAATATGAAAACAAAACACCCTAGTGTCTGTGCTAGATAAAATATTTGCAGTTGTACTTGTGCTTTACCTATGACCTCGCTTGTTGCCATCTTTAATCCTTGCAGTTCCGCAAGAAACAACTCAAATTTGCGAAGAGTCGCATTCACGACTGGGGACTGTTTGCTCTGGAGCCGATTGCGGCCGACGAGATGGTCATCGAGTATGTGGGCCAGATGGTGCGGCCCATCATGGCTGACCGGCGGGAGCAGTTCTACACGCAGATCGGCATCGGGAGCTCGTACCTCTTCAGAGTAGATGTTGAAACCATCATTGATGCCACCAAATGTGGCAATCTGGCCCGGTTCATCAATCACAGCTGCAATGTGAGTACTAAAGGATGCGTCCCGTTATATTTGTCAAAGGAATCATGTGCAGTAGTGCTTGCGGGTTTAAACGTGCCGTTAAATTTTCATAAAATCACTGGTATGCGCAGTTGCTCAAGATAACCACGTCATGTCGCAGTGAATCTGGTCTCTGAAGATGTAGGTGGCTCTGATTTACTTGTTTGAGCAGGCATTACGCCAATACGACCTGGGGCAAAGACTGTAGAAACGAAAGTATCTGCATTACGTCGCCCTAAATACAGTCGAACCCCTTTATAAGAGACACTGATATAAGAGACAAATGGTTATCAGAGACACCAGTGTGCCTTCATTAAAATGCGGTTTGATAAGGAAATGCCTACATGGTGCCCTGCTTATGATAGAGGTCTCACAGTTGTGGGAAACCTGTGCCAATTGTGCCAACCTGTGCCAACTGGAAATCACTGCGCCGTACTGCTCCAAAAGGGTCTTTTTGTGTCCGATTTGCACCATAGTTGCGCCCACAAAGTGGTTTTAGAACCGAAAGTAATGTTGACAGTACGTACATGGAATATATTATGTGATGGTCGCCATCTTGTGCAGTTGTGTTGCTGCATTTGCGTGCGATCGCGTAGCTGCAAAATTACGGAATCGGTCAATCAATTCTTCCCACTTCTGCACCATTGCAGCGGTGCCTTTTCTGGTAATCAGTAGCAAAGAACGAAGGCGATGTGGCGGCCACTGAAAGGTGCACTAGTATGACATCGCCGATAAAAACCCTACGTGCCGCTTTAAGCCTACTGCATGCTTTTAATAGCTGGTGACTACCTGCAAGCAGGGGCGCCGATTGCTGCCACGTAGACCGTTGTATGGGACCGTGTTTAGCTTGCACCGCTTTGCAGAAACGAAAGTAGCTGCAAAGCTACTTTCGTTTCTGAAACGAAGTTGCTGAGTTGAGCATTGTGGATTGCTGGCGCTGATACAGCGCGCTTTCATAGGGTGTCAACCCAAATGCACTTCAGTCGCCAAGACCGCCAGCTCTAGGACCGCTAGAGCATGGCTTGCAGAAAGCTCACATCATCGCATTAACGTAATAGCTTTCTCGCCGCATCTGTGCGCGGTCTGAAGCGGAGTGGGTGTAAGCGGCTTGCCATGCTGTGTATGCCAAGTAGGCGAAGCGCTACACGCAACTAGCTGGTAGATGATCAGTTCTCTGCTACCGTACCGCACCCAAAAAAAGGTGCGTCTGTTCTCACTAAGCAGCAGACTGTGGCACACATTCATCGCGAACAGCCGCTTATGTCTGTTTCATCGCTATGCAAGTCTTCGCGTCGGCTACATATCCCGGACTCCGCAGTAGTTTCGAAATTTTCCTTGCTGTCGCCACCGCGTGCCATCAGACGACCGTGCGAGAGTGCCAGTTTTTCTAAAATTTGGCAAACAGAAAGAAATAGCTTTGTGGTGGGCACTTTAGGCAATATGTGCTGTGGCACTGTATTAGTTTATTCCTTCTTTAGTGGCGATGGTGCACGTAAAGAGATGCAAATTGGTACTTGGTGGTTAATGCATAGTGCGTTTAGTGTGTAGTTAGCCGCATGCTTGGCCATGTAAGTAGTATTAACGAGGTTTTACTGTAAAAAGCTTTGAATGTGTTAGTGGGGAGGGAGATTCATCAGCATGCTCAGGGTTCCCCTTCAGGGGAAGGGGGTGAAGGTTCTTCACAGAGCCCCCCTCCCTATCATGTCAATGTACGGGGCTGGCTTTGCACTCCCCTCTCCTCACCTCCCCGTGGGCACGCCCATGTGAGTGTGCGCCCGCACTGGTAGAACTTCATGCTACAGGTAGCCTAATTGTTGGTGCAATATCTTTCACTGTTTTACGACACCGCTTCTGTATATGATCCTGCTTTTGTTTGTATTTTGTGCTTCTTCTTTGGGCTTGCTGCTTCTGTATAAATGATTATGTAAACTGAGGGAACATTAAACTAAATTGAGGCTAAATTTTGTTCATCTGTGTGCGTCATGGAAAGCCCGAGCGTGCTCCAAACACAGAGGTCGCTGCTCTAAAAGCAGAATTTGCCTGCTCCAATGGCTCCTCTGAAATGCTGGAAGGCATTCCCGCGACTGCATCCCATATAAAAGACAAGAATAGCTGCCCGAAGCATGCTTCATATAAATGGGTTCAACTGTAGTCCTGTTTTGATCTGTGAGCACTGTAAGTGGCACAGTACACGTCTTTGGTAAGCTTTACGTGACCCAAAGTAATACATTGTGCGTGCAAGATAACTGTTTGACCGGGAACACTTAATGGCAGAGAACTGAGTGATACTTGTCATGTCATATGGAATTATTGCTATTGAAAATTCAAAGAAAGTTGACATGTATGCACTCTACCGATTATCTAGGATTTATAGGAGTTTAGACAGGTGACATTGAACTTATAAATGAAGTAGGTATGTCGAAAATACAGTGCGAGACTAAACTAATATAGATAGTCCCACAGTGTATGAAGTTGTCAAACATGGCAGAGATGTAGTAGCCTAAATTTTGGCAACAGCCGGTGTATGCGTCTGAACTGAACATGCAGCCAGAGTAATCAAGAGGCGGGAAGAGAAAACTTGCCTCCTCATTTTCTTTGTAAACAAACAAACAAGGTGTGCAGACATTGATAAATCATCAAGCATGCAGTCGTAGCTGATGTCATATCATTATGAAAGCTGCAGGAGTCACAGGATTAGATATCGATTGCACTCATAAATGAAGGAATGAATTAAGAGTGCCTGAAGAGTTCTCTGAGCTAGAGTGTGGCGTTCTGAAAGAACCATACAAACATGTTTAGAGCAGTAGATCTTGACCACCTAAATGTGATGGACTCAGAACGCTATGGGGTGCTTAAAAATGACCAGCCAGATGTGGCGGTCAATTGTAATAATTTTATCAGCTGCGCTACTACACTTTACAGTTGTGGTCACTTGCTCTGCCTGGGACCCCTTTACTGTGTAGTACCTCGAAAACCAAGCCTCTTCTCTACTTGAATGTTTGTCATCGTAGTTGAGTGTAGTGCCAAATAATGCATGCCGTAGAAGCTAATCTTTAATTTTTTTTTTCGTTGTACTTGCAAGTGTAAGATCGCGCTTTTTTTTTTCTGTTTTCGTGCAGCCAAACTGTTACGCCAAAGTAATTACAGTGGAAGGGCAGAAGAAGATCGTCATTTACTCAAAGCAGCCCATCAACGTCAATGAGGAGATCACCTATGACTACAAGTTCCCTTTGGAGTACGAAAAATTTGTGTGTCTGTGTGGAGCGCCCCAGTGCAGGGGTTTCTTGAACTGAAGTCTCATCCGTGGTACATTCATCATGTACAGTGTACAGCTTGCATCTCATCATTCTAATCGTCATCTTCATCATCGCATTGGTTGTGTTGGGAAGGAGGCCTGTTGTGGAACAGTGCTTGAATCGTGTTCCCGAAACTTATTGAAACATTTCATCGTGTTGGCATTGTATAGACCCCCTGAGCCGCCCAGAAAAACACGCGCATGCACAAATCATAATGTACATAAGAGAAAAGTCATATTGCAATGCATTAACTTCTGTCTTGTTGTCTTTTTTCCCTTTTCTGTTACTCTTTGTACATTCGTTAAACTCTGCACTTGTAATAAAAGAAAAAGCTGCACGTTGTACAACTGCTGCCGAAACGTTTTTTGTTGAAACAATCCTGGCATTCAGCAAATAACAGCTTCCGGTAGCATTGCTTGTGCAATATTTTACGAGGACTAACTGACAATAATGCCAAGAAAAGTGTAGGCGATGGCATTAGAAATAATCTTAGTGAAAATGTGAAAAAAGAGAAGTGGATGAAAGATACCTTGCTACTGGCAGGATCAGAACGATAGTCACAGGTTCTGATCCTGCCGGTGGCAAGCTATCTTCAACAAATAATCAGGTGCATTAACAAATGATGTGCTGAGGCTTCATTTAAGGTTGTTCCTCTTCTAACTAATGCCTCCATACCTAACTTAAATTAGCCCCACTTGCCAAATGTAGTGATCAAACTGTTTATGCAAGCACGAGAGGGTGTGAAATGGTTTTCAATGTTCAAGCCTCGAGGCCGAAGTTAGCAAGTGCTTGACACACGTAATGCTTAATTTTTTATTAAAGGTAACAAAACTAACTTAACCTAAGTAGGTATTATCTGTAGCAAATCAAGGTCTGTTTAAGTCCAGAGGAGTTCAGAGGCGTCAGTTGTGGGAATGCAGGGAATACAAAGATACACTTGGACCATCCGTTTTTTTTTCCCACCTGTAGGGGTCGTATGCTTTGGCTGCCGTAAATGGTGGCTGCAATTAGTGTTGCATAAGCAAACTTCACAATTGTGGTCTCTAGAATGCTAGATTTTCTTATCCTCAAGTACCCACATAACCTGGTTGCTTGTGAGGTGGCACTGATGGCAATGGATGGATGAATGCTGTGAGCGTCCCCTTCATAACGAAGTGGTGCAGTATGTGCCGTTAGGCTTGACAAAAAAAAAGTTATGCTTTCCTATGGCTATTTCTACCCATTACAAAAAAAATAAAAATAAAAGAAAACTGACAACAATAAATCGACAGTGCAGTTCCGTGCCCCTTGTCGCAATATGCCCTTATTTTCCCCACTATTTAATTTTGCCCCTATTCACTAGTTTTCTTTCTTCCTTTTAAGTACGGAGCATTTCAAGGGGCCAGCTTGTCCATCCATAGATTTCTTGTGGCGTGAATCTAGTAAAGCACTCACTACAGGCCATAGTTAGGGGAGCATAGCTCGCACCCTGGTGAAGTAAACAAGGTCTAAAAGAACATAACAGAAATAGCCAAGAAGTAATCGCGTTAACTTTAAATCTCTAAAATGTGTTGCAAACATGGGACTGACACGAGCCTGCAGCTAGCAAGGGTGCCAGCCCTTGCCGAGCGAGAGATTCCTGCTTCCTCAGGGTCAGCACATCAGTGGTGTAAATCTTTAGGGGAGGGTCCTGACCCCCCTGTGCTTAGGCTGGGGGCGGGGGGCACCCCTTGCAAGGGACCCCCTATGAAATTTATATTTCAAACACCCTAAATCTGAAAGGTTTGACAGTTAGGTATAGCGCATTCAGCAGTTTTAGTCCCTTTTATTTTAGCTTGTATGGGTGTTCATTGTTCTCACAGCTGTGTGATATTACTGTAATTGAAAGTGCCGCTCAGTCGGTTTCAGAGAAGAAAATCCAATTACGTGAGTTGAGAAGCGATGTTCATTTTGGAATTTGTTTTCAAGGGATGATATTTAATTTTCAGGAGTACAACAGGAATTTATAAAAACAAAATGGCCACCATGGCCGAAATGTGTCCCCCCCTTTGTGATTGGTTTTGGTTTACGCCACTGGTTGCTACGTGGCTACATCTGAAGGGAAAACAACCTGAAAGAAGTCGATGAAGCTCAGCAAAAAAAAGTAGCCCACATGTTGCGCCATGTGCGTGAATCTGCGCGAGTCTGTGTAGCAAGATTCCACTCGTGCATGGGAAACCCTACATGCTTACATCAAACATTGGCGTCACTGACGTTTCATGAACCGAGCAGTGCGAATGCTATGAAGGGGAATCATTGGGCGCCGGTGCCATGCACTTGCCTGATTGGCCTTTGTGATTTGTCTCTTACCGACATTGAGGGATTGACCATAAACCGGTGGTTAAAGATTAGGCTTGAGATTAAGGGAAAAAAAGCCATCTGTTTACTGGGAAATGTAGAAAAAAATTCAGCTGAATATTTATGTATTGATATAACTATAAAACAATACTGGTATGTAGTCGGCTAATCAGAGAAAAGCTCAAGTGCAAAATTTAGAATGAAAATTAATTAGTCCAAAATAACTGTTTTTTTTCCTTTCTCACACCGCGCGAGCACAGCGTCACTTTTCTCGGTTCCAAAGCCAACATCGATAGTTATGACACACGTGTGCAATGAGGTGAAAACTTCACTACAGATGGTGATCGCACCCCGAAAGATGGACCACCCAAATCTTGAGGGTAGATCTTGTCTATATGCGAGTAGACCAAGTCTGTTTGAGCAGTTGACTCCATTCTTGGATCAGGTATAGTCGATTTCGGAGTGGGTGATCAAGATTTTAGGGGTAAGCCAAGCGCATCTTAGCAGTGGGCCAGGCTCGTGGTTATCTGATTAGGCAAATCTTGTCTGGAGACTGCCCACTCAAATATTTGAGGTGGGCCAAGCCTGTTTGGGGCGCACCAAGGCAGTTGTGGACATGTGTCGACCACATTCTTGAATTGGGCAATGCCAGTTTCGGGGAATAGCAAACGAAATATGGTGGCTGAGTCAAGTCAATTTCGAGAGTAGAAAGTCTGGTTCGGATGGGACAACTCGATCGGTTTTACAAATGGGTGAAGTCCGGTGTGAAGACGGGCCACCCAAATCTTGGCGGAGGACCAAGTCCTAGGGGAGCCGACTGATTTAATTACAAGCATGTGTTGACCATATCCTCGATTGAGGCAATGTCCATTTCAGGAATGAACCACCAAAATATTGTGGTGGGCCAAATTAATTTGGGGTGTGGGCAGGGGTGTAGCCAGAAATTTTTTTTGGGGGGGGGGGGGGCACCCCCTTGAAATGACCTTATTTTGCTCTTTATGCCATGGCGAAAAAAATTGGGAGGGGGGGGGGGCACGTGCCCGGTGTGCCACCCCCTGGCTACGCCCCTGGGTGTGGGTCCGGTTGGCTTTGGGCGTGGACAAATAAATTCTCTAATCAGGTGAAATCAGTTGGACGTGTCCGCCAAATCTTGGAGGTAGGCCACCTCCACTTGGGAGTGGACTAGCTTTTCTTTATATATATTCTTAGCATACATGCCAAAACGAGTCGACACTTGTCGACCTTGTTCTTGAATCGGGCAATGCTTTGGAGATGAGCAACCGAAGTTTCGTGTGTGAGCCACGTCCATTTTGTGAGTGCGGGAGGTCTGTACTAGAGTGGGACAACTCAGTTCTCGAATTTCGTTAAAGAAGTTCTGTGACGTGTCACCCAAATTTCGGAGGTGGACCAAGCTTTTTTTAATGACCAAGCTGTGTTTGGACGTGCGACACTGAGTACTCGGGTACTCGGATTAGGTGAGTTCAATTTTGTAGACGTGTCACCCGAATCTTGTGGGCGGGCAAGTCTATTATGGAGTGTATCAATTTGGTTTCGTGCATATTTCGACGTTATTTTAAATCAGGCAATATATATAATAATTATATATATATATATATATATATATATATAATCGTGTTCGCGTTGCTTTGCCCGTCTGCTCCATTCCTTGAGGACTTGTACCGACTATGGCCCATCCTTAGCCTCTGCTCTGTACGTGCGTTCCATTCATGTTATGCAGTGCCCTTGTCAAATGGTGCATTGCTTGTTGCGTCCTCATGTCAATTCAATCCCCACTCTGATTTCAGCTCAACACGTGTTCTTCGTCCCCGAAATTTCAGGTTGAGTGGGAATTTTGATACGCTCGGTAGAAGTACTGCTGAAGTTTTGCACTAAACATGTATGAGCGGATGAAGCAGAGCTGCAGTGGCACACAAAACAGTATTCGATATATACGCATGAGTAAACAGCATGCAGCATTGCATTGTCATGCAAGCTTTGACACTCGCATATCCTCGCCAACGCAGTTTCCACGTCGCACTAGAACACAGCCATTTCAGTCTGGCATAGGTTTTAGGGGCGAAGCACGTGAGGACCCCGCAAAGTCGTCCGTATACCACCTCGCTTACAGCACATGTAGCGCAGGTGCATGTGAACAAACCGGAACAAAAAATGAAAAAAAAGAAAGAAATACCAAAAAGAAAGGTTAACAAAAGGCTGATAACGATAATAAACAAAATAAAAAAACCTTACAAACGCTGACATTTAGCCACCGATCATTCAAAGAATGACAGAACAAAAGGTTTCACAATAAAATGCTCTAACCAGGACAAAATGGAAGACCACGAAACTATAAAAGTGGCAACGCAACAGGCTACCCCGGAGTTTGAGGCGCACCTAGCGATGGCTAACGCTAGAAGTATTGTTTTCTTATGGCCTCCGATATAGTCAACGGTGCACCGCCGACTGCTCTCGGATGCCATGATCTACTAGAGGCGAAGACTCACAATGCTACCAGGAGTAGTTGACGAGGGCGCGCGCTGTTGCGAAGACGGACCGATCCCGCCGAAGCCACCACTGTTGCGAAAGACGGCGACGCCAACACGGTCCCGAAGGTGCCACTGCTTTCAACTCCGCCGGGAAGGTCACCAGCCGTTTGGTAGCGTATGTTTCTCAGCTCGCGA